AGGGTGCCGCTCCCTCAGGTGTGTCCCAGGTAGACCCGGTTGAGCCTGTCGAGGTAGCTGTCGACTCTCGTCCTGCTAGGGGTGCTGAGCCTGGGGGTGCGGAGCCTGGGGTTGCGGAGTCTGGGGGTGCTGAGCCTGGGGGTGTGGAGCCTGCGGGTGCTGAGTCTGGGGGTGCTGAGCCTGGGAGTGCTACGTCTGAGGGTACTGAGCCTGAGGGTGCTGAGCCTGAGCGTGCTTCACCTGGAGGAGCTCTCTCCTCACAGCAGCTACGAGAGTGGTACTTACAGTACTGCAGCCTCAGGAGGGGTGCTTCTGGAGCTAGGAGTGCTGCTGGAGCTGGTGCTAGTGCTTCCCCTCCTAGGCGGGAGCTGCCCTCTCCCCAGCGGCTCCGAGAGTGGTACGCTCGGCGCTGCAGTCTCCGGAGTGGCGCTCCTAGTGTCGCGGACCCTGGTGCTGGAGCTACTGGCGGTGCTGCTGGTGCTACTGGAGGTACTGCTGGTGTTGGTGCTGCTGGAGCTGCTGGAGGTGCTGCTGGTGCTGGTACTGCTGGAGCTGCTGGAGGTACCGCTGCTACTGGCGGTGCTGCTGACACTGTTGGCGGTGCTGCTGGTGCTGCTGGAGGTACTGCTGGTGCTGGTGCTGCTGGAGCTGCTAGAGGTGCTGCTGCTACTGACGGTGCTGCTGGTGCTGCTGGAGGTGCTGCTGGTGCTGGAGCTGCTGGAGGTGCTGGGACTGGGCCTGCTGAGGAGGTTGGAGCTGGAGGTGCTGAGCGGCCGCGGCCGTACTACGTTCCGCTCCTTCAGCAGGTTCTTGGCCTCCCGCCCTCTCCTGGTCCTGCTCCTCCCCTACTGAGTCCACCGCCTGTCCAGTCGCAGTCACAGTTACAGCCAGCCTCTCCCGTGCCTGGTCCTTCTCCTTACGCTGAGCCGACGGGAGGTCTTACGGAGCGTCGTGAGCCTGAGTCTCGTCCTCCGTCACCTGAGTCTCGTCCAGAGTCGTCTGAGTCGCGTCCAGAGTCGCCTGTCCGTGCTGTCCGCGCTGGTCGTCGTGCTCCGCGTGAGCGACCTCCTCCTGTCCCTGGCACTCACTATATGACTCTGCGTCCTTCCACTGCTCCACAGCGTGTCCCTCTGCCGTCTCCTCCTGCGTCCTCTCTTCCTGCTCTTGCTGACCCGGAGTCTGACTCTCTTCGTGCTGCCAGTCCTACTGTCACGCGTCTCCTTGCCACTGTTGTCACTGACCCTTCCTTCGAGTCCTCTGCTGCGTCTGCTCTAGTCGCTGAGCTTGTTGACTTTGCTGCCGCCTGTCGTCTAGACTACGCCGCTAGCCTTGTTGCTGAGTCTGAGTCTGTCTGTCCTCCGTCCGTCGGGGGTGAGTGTGCTCTTGGCACGGACGTCCTTGAGGACAGACAGGAGGAGTTTGAGTGCTTTGCCGCTGCTTTGCCTCATCTCGTGTCCATGCTAGTTGCCCCGAATTGGATAGGATGCATCAGAATCTGTGAATCAAGGAGTCGGACAAATTGTGTCCCATCAACCTACGAGTCGCATGAACGACAGCTTACGAATAAGGAGGTCTGTGGTTTTCTGGAACGTCCTAATATCCATTAATGCCCTTGTTCCCGACCGGAAACGGTGCGGCTTGCGTTGACGCACCTGATACCAAGTTACGACGAACGCAAACACGATCCGGAGGCAACAAGACAAGATACGAGAAGAAACGAGATTAGATGGTGGGCTTAGTCCCTCGTCCAGGATAAGACGAACGGAAACACGAATCGGAAGCAACGAAGGGAGGGGCCCTGGGGGGGGGAGAGGGGGGGGGGAAGGGAGGACGAAGCAAACCAAACGGAGGTCAGAATGAGCGAATTAAAACAACCACTACCGCCCCCGCCTGTCGGTCTGTCACAACTACTACCAAGAATGCTACTTTCGGTAATTATCCACAGGCTACAACATACTCTTACGCTCCTACAATCACAACCTTAGGTACTCACCTTCGGGTGGCTGGAGCGTCACGTAATGCATGTGGGACGTGTTGAGAGCAATCCGACGCGCCTAAAGTAAACCCCCTCGACGTGACTGATTGGGTAGCGATGCGTTATACCACGTGCGGATTATCCAAGCAACCGCCCACCGCCGACATGTGAGGTGCCCCACAAGGCACTCACCTTCGGCCCGACGACTCTGCCACTTTCACCTGGATTGCCTTGGGCCGCCGCTGCCACGGCGCGTGCCGCGTTGCTCCGCTTGGGCGTGCGCTGCTTCCACCTTGCCATTGGGAAATTGAGAAGCGTGCGATGAAAATTTGGCAGAGAAGGTGGTAACAGGCGGGGTCGCAACCGCACCTCTTATTTCATTGCGTGGTCTTGCCGTTGAGATCCTGGCTATGTTTATGTTATATCCTACTTGCTGTAGTTAATGTAGTTATTGTTATAATCTGTTGGTGGTGCACACTTTGCTTCTTGCCTATATGGACTCCAAACCCTATAGTGCAACCCCTCTTTTGTTGGCAACTATCGCTTCTCCCTTCCCTCTCGTAACTGCCGTGATTGCCTAGCTATGGCTCCTAAGTCTCCCAAGGCCTAGCTTCCTTTTGACATGGTGTCAGAGCTGGTTCCATCCTGGAACCATCCTGTCCCAGGGTGATGAGGGGGTGGCGGGGGGGGTGATGAGAGGGTGGCGGGTATGTGAAGGTGAAAGGAGGGTGAGGGTGAGAATTGACAGGACGGCAGATTCAGGGGGTGAGGTTAAAGGGGGGTGGTTGAGTTGAGTGCTGAAGGTTATTAAGAGGGATCGCAGGCATGGAGTTGGTACACTCATGCATGGCCCCCCACCTTCTTTCCTTTTCCCTCACTCCTCCCCCCCCCCCCCCCCCCCCCCCTTGTAAAAGCGAGTTCGTAAGCGGGGACGTCGCGGCCTCCCGTTCCGTTCCGTCTCGCCGCGGCCACCCCCCACCTCCTCTCCTCATCCCTCTCTCTCTTACCTTCCCCTCAGTAATCCTCTCCTCTCCTCTCCCTTTCTCGCCTCGTTTCCCTCACTTACCACCCTCTGACGTCTACCGCTGCACCTTGTTCACCCCTTCAGGGGGTGTTGACTGCACTAATTCCTATCGCAAGCAGGATAAGGGGTTGTGTCAAAGCTATGTTTATGTAATATCATATTTGCTGTAGTTAATGTTGTAATTAATGTAGTTATTGTTATAGACTGTTGGTGGTGCACCTTTTGCTTCTTGCCTATATGTACTTCAAACCCTATAGGGCACCCCAGCAGGAACGATGTGGTCAACAACGAGAGTTGCGAAATTCGAGGTCACCCCAAAGAAACCCCACTGTTTCGGAACGAGGCTAAGAGTTAGGTTTGCTCACACAGTTCGGCCACCGAGGTTGACCCAACCAGGTTTTTGCTTCTTGGCGCTATTCTCTCACACGTTTTTCCGTAACCGCGTTTCAATTTGTTACCCACCCGATTTGTTTTGGCTTTCTCTTTGTCGTGGTCTTTGTCCTTGCGCCTTGTTTTTGCAGTCATCGGTAAGTCGACCTGTTTACCTCTCTTATGGTAAGCATACGGTACGTCGCATAGTAGGCAGCTGTGGAGTGGCAAATACGTTTCCGTGGGCGGGACGGACGCGGGCGGGCGAGGGCGGGGCGGGGGCAGGCGGGGGCTGGGTGGGAGGGCGGGGGCTGGGGGGGAGGGCGGGGGCGGGCGCGGGCAGGCGCGGGCGGGGCGGGGGCAGGCGGGGGCGGGGGCGGGGGCGGGCGCGAGCGCGGGCGGGCGCGGCCGCGGGCGGGGGCGGGCGCGGCCGCGGGCGGGGGCGGGCGCGGGCGGGCGGGCGCGGGCGGGGCGGGCGCGGGCGCGGGCGGGCGCGGGCGGGCGTGGGCGGGCGCGGGCTGGCGCGGGCGCGGGCGGGCGCGGACGCGGGCGGGCGCGGGCGGCGGGCGGGCGTGGGCGCGGGCGGGCGCAGGCGGGTGCGGGCGGGGGCGCGGGCAGGCGGGGCCGCGGGCGGGCGGGGGCGCGGGCGGGCGCAGGCGGGTGCGGGCGGGGGCGCGGGCGGGCGGGGGCGCGGGCGGGCGGACGCGGGAGGGGCCTGGCAGGCATGAGCAGAGGGACTGACCTGGCCCGACCCGACCCGACCCGACCCGGCCCGAACCGACCCGACCCGGCCCGACCCAACCCGACCTGGCCGGGCCAGGCCGGTTTCCGGGTCGGGTCGGGTCGGGCAGGACTTCGGGTCAAGACAGAAAAACGCCTGATCGGACTCGGGGAGCCAGGGTCGAATCAGCTTGACCGAACCTCGGGTCGGGCCTGGCCCGAGGTCGGGTCGGATCAGGGGAAGCCACTCCCTCTATAGGATTAGATGTATGCTTTTGAGGTTTGTAATTGTGTTTATGTTATTATTTGTTTCAAGCTATCTTAATAATAATCATGACTGCATCTCTACCCTAGTTTTCTTCATTGATGACACACACATGCTGTAATCAGTTGCTGACCTGTGCTCCGATCCTTCCAGGTTGAAGTGACATGCGGCGTGGCAAAGCTCTAGAGGCGAGTGTTGCAGCCTAGCGAGGATTGCGAGTTCAGTGCCTGAAAGGCAGTTGGTCTGCGGGTTCTCACGCTTCACTTATGTTCTTGGTTAGCTATAAGTTGTGTTTCTGTATTTGTGTTTAGGGTATAGAGTGTTTCAAACTTCCTTGAGAAATATTATGGCTGTAGTTCTAGTGATGTTATTAAGTGTGACTGGAAGGGGAATGGATACAATATGTTTCATACTGCTTGTGTGGTCGTGGTGCCACGGATAGACAGCCTTTGCCCAGGGTTGTAATCCTGCCATGACTTAATCATCATGCTTTCACGCATCTGACTCGCGCTCAGCCTGTGCCTCTGTCATGTGACGATGCTCCTGCTTTGGCTGAATGCTCGCTCACTCGCCGCAGACGTGGCGGGTATACCCAGATAATCGCGCGCCATCGCTTTAAGCCCGGGCAGTCGCTACTCCCTACCACGCTAGTATACTAAGGGGCAAACATCCTCCTGCCTCCCCTTTAACACATATTGGTCCACTTTGTTCAGCTCCTGCACCCCCTCCTCCGCCTCCATGGTTGCCATCTCAGCCATCAACCCCGCCTGAAAAGAGCGGTAGCCACCTCCCCGGGCCGCCCCACGCCCTGCTGCCCCCACCCTTGCCGCTGCATGCCCCACCGCTCCCCTGACACTCGTAACCTCACCCCTACGGCGTGTCTCTGTCGCCGCAGCCGACGCAACCTGGTACTGTGGAAGGCGCTCCCGCACCAGCGACTTCACCCTCTCCTCGTCCAGGTCGAGTGTCTGTGCCCCCCATCGCATGGCCTTCCTCCTCCACCACAATGGGCGCGCTACTCCTACCCCCCTCGGAGCTCTGAGCCTAAAGGGTGCGGTCTTGTAGCTCGGATCAAGGAAGGTGGCAATCGTCGCCTCCTCGCTCACCCACCCCCCCCACCATGTGGCGCTCCAGCTTGCTTGGTGCCGCCACGGTCAGCTCTGAGCACAGCGGTGAGATCCCTGGCATTTGCAAAGACCTCTTCAGAAGATCCTACAGCTTGTTGTACAGGGGTACAACAGCTGACATGGTCACGTACAGAGACCCCTCGACAAAAAGAGTGATTTGGTGAAAGGGGGTGAGAAAATCACGCTACTCGATGAGAGCTGCCCAATCAGCATCAGTCAGTCGGATCGTCGCTCATGCTTCGCGCGTGGCACGTGGCAAGGAAACCTACTTAGGCAGGGGGGTGGAGTGCATGGGAGATAGAGCATTAGTGAGCAACATGGGGTTACATACACATGCACGCTGATTATAAGCATGTTCCTATGATGGGAGGGTTGTGGGAGGGATCGCATGGGAGAGAGAGCTTCATTGAGCGACATTGGGTTACATACGCATGCACGTTCATTATAAGCACGCTCCTATGATGGAAGGGTTGGGGGAGGGATTGCATGGGAGATAGAGCTTAGTGAGCGACATGGGGTTACATACGCATGCACGTTCATTATAAGCACGCTCCTATGATGTGAGGGTTGGGGGAAGGATCGCATGGGAGATAGAGCTTTATTGAGCGACATGGGGTTACATTCGCTTGCACGTTCATTATAAGCACACTCCTATTGCCGCTGAAATATACTCACGTCGGCGTCTCCAGCATGGAACCCCAATGCGTAGGCAAATCGATGATCAGCCGCAAGCCATCGGAGGGTGGGCGCGTCCTCCCTCCCTGTGCAGACTACTGCTACGACGCCATCTGGGGCGCTGCAAACCGGCTCTGAATATATAAAAAAGAACGCTCCGAATGTTGCACCGACCAGCCGATATGGCTAGCCACATCTCGCAGCCGCTGGAGCGGTTCCGAGACGGTCCTAACCTTCAGTGCATGCTGTACTGACAGGTTAAAGACACGTGCCACGCACCTATGGGGCAAGTTCATAGTAAGAGGAGGGTGGACATGATGTGGTGATGAACGTACAAAGCATAGACAACATAGCACAATAAGCACACACGAGCTCCCATGTAGCCGTCGATGACATGTACCTGAAGTGCCGAGACTGGGAGAGCAGGGGGGGGTGCGTGACCCCGGTGTGCTGTTAGGGACGCCAGCCAATAGGCGAATCGCACGATTGTTGTTCTCAGCGTTGTCCGTGGTCACGCCGAAGAACGCACCACCTAGTCCCCACTCCACAATGACCTCCTCCAACTCCTTCGCTATCTTGTCCCCAGTGTGGGCACCCTCCAGCGGCCTGAAGTCGAGAATGGCCTGCTGCAGCCCGAAGTCGCTCGTGACCCAGTGCGCTGTCACCACCATGAAAGCTAGGCCGTTCTCACTAGTCCAAATGTCTGTGGTGAGCGTAATCCTCCCCGAAAGTCCGTCGGCTGTCAGCAGCTGTCGCAGCTCCGCCGTAGCTGCATCGCCTGTGGCATGCATGTCGCGTGCAAGACGGAAACGGCTGTCGAGATGCTGCGACAAAGTCATTGAACTGGGATGGCCGAGAGCAAGGAGAGGGAGTGATAGCTACGGTGAACTACAATGAAGTATGCGACAACCACGCATCATCGAGTATATGCACACACGAGCTCTTACCTGTTGCCGTTCGACTGCCCGAAATGGCATGTCGAGTCTAGCAAATAGCATCACCAGACCCTCGCGCAGCTGCTGAGCACCAACCGGCGGCGTGACAAATGAGCCCATGCTAGTCTGCCTACTTCCCTCCGACAGCGGCTACGCCTGTCAACCCACTCGGACCGCCCCCCTCCTTGCCAACTGGGACCCTAGGCCGCATATCCGCATGCTCCCACGGCCACTTGGTCTCATCGCGGAGGAGCTACTTAAGGCACAGGAAGCATTTGACCGGAAGGATAAGCAAGCGTTCCAGTACCTGTGTTGGGCCTTGGAAGGCCAACTAGAGCTCCTAAAGATGCTGATTGACATGAAGGGGAAGCAAGGAGCAGCTGCCCAAGCATGGAGAGAGTTCAAGATCGACATCTGCAAAAGGGGCTGCTAAGCATACCCACACGGAGGAAGCGGTTCTACACCATGGAACGCAACTATGGCGGTGGGGAGACCATGGTGCAGTACCTCCAGAAGGTGGATGAGTATGTGAGGGCCTTGGAGGAGTTGAACTACACTGTGGATGAGAAGGAGATCATCTACGCCACACTTCAAAGGCTGGATCAAGAGGCAAACGAGGCTCTACTACAATACCTTCACCTAGAGCAGCAGAAATGGACCAAGGCCTGGATATGGGAGGTGTTGGTTTCTGATGAGGCTCGCAAGCGTGATGCTGGTAGAGGAGTTGAAGGGGGAATGGGGGCAGGTGATAGGGCTACCTCCAAGAAGTACCAGCAGCGCCAAGAAGGTGGGGGGAAGAAGAAAGAGCTCGACAAGTGCCTCGTCCCTGGATGCAATCGGAAGCACTCTTGGAAGGAGTGTTGGAGCCGGCCAGATGGGTGGAAGCCTCAAGGGTACCCAGGAGAGGCTCCACCTGTCACTAGGTCTGAGTGGGTGGAGAGGAGGATAAAGAATGGAGCCTGGAATAAGAAGGGCAGCAAAGGAAAAGCGGCAGCAACAGCGACAAATGATGGTGGGAAGGGAAAGGAGGACTCGTTGGATGACGGTTTTGCCTTCCTTACCTTGGAGAAGGAGACGGCGCTTGCTGGTCGTGTGTTGGCTGACCCTAATCACCTTGTTCTAGACTCTGGTGCCACTGCAGGAATGGTACCACGGCGTGACCTCTTCACTACCTACCACTCCCTTCCACCTAACTCAAGAAATGTGATCGTGGGAAGCGGAGATACGCTGCAAGCAACCGGCATCGGCACCATCACCATCAAGGGGAAGGACGGGGAGGTGCTGAATGTGAAGGCTGTGCTTCATGTTCCTGTACAACCAACCTTCTCTCATGCTCTCAGCTTGCAAGGCAAGGATACATATGCACCTTCACCATGGGAGGGTGCACTCCACTCCACACCCCACTCCCCCTTTCACTCGTGTGTTTGTAGTCATGCACCAACGTGGTGCCGTATACACCTGCACTGCAAACACATGAGTGAGGTTTGTGGAGTTAAAGTGACGTTTGGCCGGACTGGACACCTTGACGTCACCACACATGTGAGTGCAATTGCAAACCCATTGCCTTGCTGATCATTTGCAGATGCTTCACTTGGTGGAATCGGTTGGAGGCCACACAGGAGGTTGCATGTGAGATGCTGCTTTGTTGTAATGGGCTTGGTGAGATAATCAGCTGCCTGCCAGGTTGTAGGGCAGTACTCCAACCGCACAACACCATCACGATCGGCCTTCCTCGTCCAATGGTAACGCACTTCCATGTGCTTAATGCGCTGACTCATTTGCTCCCCTGTTGCAAGTGCAATTGCACTTTGGTTGTCCACTAAAAAGACTGTTGGTTCTTGCTATGGGAAACCAAGGTCTTCACACGAGCGCCGAAGGTAAGCCGCTTCTCTTGCCCCTTCAAAAATTGCAATGTACTCAGCTTCAGTTGTTGATGTAGCGATCACGGTTTGCCTCTTTGTCCTCCAACTGACGGCAGCTCCACCCAAGGTAAACATGTAGCCTCCCATTGACTGACACCCTACCTCATTCGCATAGCCTGAGTCCGTGTACCCTCGGAGCACCAAGTCCTAACCTCCATAAACCAGACCCACGTCTGCAGTGTTCTGTAAGCACTTGAAGACACGTTGAATTCCTAGCACGGTTGCAGCTGTTGGCTTGCTAGCCTGTCGAGCCAACACGTGTGTTGCATATGTAATGTCCGGCCTCCCCGCTGTTGAGATGTACAGCAACGTCCCCACTTGCTTCAGCACTAGCTGACTGTCAATCTCGTCTGGTGGTTCTTCTTGTGGTCCAGGTTCCTTGGTGATTGGCGTCCGAACTCCAGAACGGCTGCCTTCCGTCCCGAAGCTCGCCAAAGCATGTGAGATGTATGCATACTTCACTTGAGTTTCCAGACTTTATCTCCGTTCCGTCGCAGTTCAGATGGTCTCACATACACGTCCCTGTCGATTGGGGCGTACAGGGACGCATTGGAGATGTCCAGTTGCACGACCTTCCGCTTCGTAGCAGATGCACCAGCAACGAACATGCGTGAGGTAGGTCCTTGGCTGACCGGTGCATACGTCTCATCGTATGTTCCCCACGTTTGTCTGCATCCCTTGACCACCCAGCGCGCTTTGAACCAGCTCGACTGGCTGTGCTTATCTCGTTTCACCCTTAACACGACTCCCTCTATCAACACCGGGACTCCCTTTGCTACGTCTGCTCTGTCTACGACCTCATTTGCTTCCAGCTCAACGAATTTTGCCAATTATGCATCCACCGCAGCTTGCCAAAGAGGTGCGTACGTGTCATTGACCATCTCCTTGAGTGTTTTGGGCTCCTTGTATGTCAGGTCGACCATGGGCACACCGGCTGCTGCACATCCCAACACGCGTTGTTGTAGGTTGCGGGTTGCGAAGACTGCTGTCCCCTTGAGTCTTGTTCTGGTCGGTCTGTTTGGCTTGTCCCGCTTGCCGATTTCCAAACAACACATCCAGTCCTGTCCTGTCCGTTGCTTGCTCTTCTCCCTCGAGCACAGTCACATTCGGATTGAAGTTAACCCGTCATGGTGTTGTATCCTGGACAACCAGCGGGATCCCATCAGGTGGGTAGGCAAAGTCATAGAGATGACTTGCCTCGTTTTCCACTTCGTTGTCACCTTCAGGAATAGAGACGCTTGCTGCAGGTAAGTCACTTGTTGAAGTCCCTTCGTCTGTGTCGGTTGCATTGGCTGCAGATGAGTCCTCTTGACCTCCATAGTCTCGGCTTCATGACCTCCTGCGGGATGGACTTGAGTGGTTTTGGGGGAGGAAGGTGATGATGCTGGAAATGAGTCAAACTCGGACCCAAATCCTTCTCCCCCTGAAGTCCAGCCGTCAATGTGCGGTAAGACTTTCTTCCATGTAGCATTGTCGTTCGAGTACAGATTCAGCATCCGGCATCATGAGGTCATCAAAGAAGCAAGCTGAGCGTGTGTCCGTGTCTACGTCGCTTGCCAAGTCCCGGACGATCCATGCCTTACGAGCGTTCGAGATTCCAAGAAACATCCTAGCCCGTCCTCTTTGTTCGAATCTCCCGAAGCTGCCTTGGGGAGGGAGATAGTAGCAGAGGCAGCCAAATGTTCTTGCCATTGAATCATCTGCCGCTTTTCCGGGCGTCATGAAATATGGTGAGTGTGCTGATGGGTTGCTGCTGCAGCTGATGCGGTTGTGTAGCCATGCAGCATACTCCAGCGCATACGGCCAGAACTTGGAGGAAAGGCTGGCGCCTATGGCCATTGCCCGCACTCGGTCTATGAGTGTGCGGTTAACCCGTTTGGCGACTCCATTCTGCTGTGGCGTGTGAGGTAAGGACGTTTGGTGGTTGATGCCATGAGAAATCAAGTAATCCGTGAAGGCATTTGTTGTATACTCCCCCCCGTTGTCCGTGCGCAAGGCAGCCAGCGGCTTCGTGGGCAGCTTGGTTTTCATCTCTTGATGCCAAGCCGAGAAAACAGCTACGATGTCGGACCGACGAGCCAACGACGCCACCACCAGGTGGTTTGTGTAGTCATCCTTGAGCGTCAGCACGTAGCGAAGTGAGGGGTGAGCGCCACCCAAGTCCATGATGTCGCTATGCACGAGCTCCAAAGGTCGGGTTGTGCCCTTGGTACTTCCTGTGGGAAAGGGGGCCTTGCTCATCTTCCCTCGAAGGCATGAGTCACACGGGGGTTTGAGAGGGTTTGTCTAGTCGGATATGGAGAGTCCTTCAACATCTCCATTCCAAAATGTTGCATCCATGGATGTGTATGATGGGTGACCCAAGCGTTTGTCCGCCATGCGGTCTGTGATGGATGCATGAGGAGACTGCGCATTCACCCCTTCAAGTCCAGGAGCATTCGATGCTTTATTCTGATGATCATGACCAGATTCATGGGCAGATGCAAGTGTAGGCTCATATTGCACCATCAACACCCCATGCATGATCATTCCAACGCCAATGAGCACAAAATCATCACCATCAGCCATGATGATCTCCAGTGTGCCCATCAGCATAAGTATGAATCCTTGCTCCCTTCTTTTGCAGCTGACAATATGAGAGGAGGTTTGACTTCAGCCCGGGTACATAGATGACTTCGGTATAGCGAACCGTTGTCCCATCTGGTGCTGTAGCTCGAATGGTTCCCACCATCGTGCTCAGCAACTGGCTCCCATCAGCAAGCTCAACATATACAGGTTTGTCTAGCTCCTCCAAATCCTCAAACCAGCTCTTCTCCGAGGTTATATGATGGCTGCACTCGCTGTCCAGCGGCCACAGGTGTCCTCCTAGTCTCGGTAAGGCCGCTTGCATCGAGCGGATCGTTGCAATGCGAGTGACGGTACGCTTCTTGTCTCCCCCAGTGTCCCCTTGTTTCGTTTGGGGTTGCCACTCCTTCGGGGCGA